AGAGAGAGAGAGAGAGAGAGAGAGAGAGAGAGAGAGAGAGAGAGAGAGAGAGAGAGAGAGAGAGAGAGAGAGAGAGCCTGGTAATCCGCAGGCAGAAAGGGACAAAAGGATTGGACGGGGGGCTGTGAGAGACCAATTTGTAGGAATTCCACTGACTCGGCAATATAGACTGCAGGGCATCGGAAACCGAAAGTAAATTGCATCGACTATCTATTAAATTGACGTCTATTGCAGTTGGAGTCTTCTCTCGAATGGTTGGGTCGTGAACTTCAGAATCATCCTTTTATTTCTTCTCTCTTCATTTCCTCACGTGTGTTTGTTTGTGGGCAGGTTTCTCAAGTTTGGAGATCGGCGGAGAATTGCAGCGGACCTCAAGTATGGCGACATTGTGGAGCGTCATATTGAAGATGGCGATGTCGTACTTTTCAATCGACAACCAAGTCTCCACCGAATGTCTATTATGGCCCATCGAGTAAGTCATCCATGTTGCTACGGTTTGCCAGGGACGGAAAACCTGCATCGAAGTAGCATGGAATTAAGCTTGTTCTTTGAACACTTCTGAATCTGCGATGAAGTCTTTCTTCTTTTTTTTTGTTCCCTAAGGGGTAGCCCTTAAGACTTTGTTGCTAGAATTTGAACCCCTGTTTTGTTCAGGAACAGATGCATGTATTACCCCAACAAAAAAGGAACCGGTACATGTGCGTAGTGTGTAGTGCACTGTGTACCATTCAGTCACATGGGCTGGGTGGCTACCTTCTTTACCTGAATACAACATACGGTCATTATTGCTGTATTTAGACTGAAAGATACCCCAAATACATACAGCTACAATGACCGTACGTTGTATTCAGGTGAAGAAGGTAGAAGGTAATCGAGGGAAATGTGGCCGTAAATTTCATAGATGTTAGATCATCCAAAAAAAGAAAAAAGAAATCCTCGCAAGGTGATAGGGAGTACTGATGGCAGATACGTAGTAAGTACCAATAAAGACCACCACCGTCTTCCCCCGAATAGAACGTGTGTATGGTTATTGTATCTGTATCCGGACTAAATTTTGGTCGACATACAGTGGTAATGACTGTACAGTGTAAATTCTATTTGGAGGAAGAGGCCAGTTCTTCGTTCAATCTCTTGCTTGGTTGCTTGGTTGGTCATTTATCGCTTTGATGAGGTAGGCTGGGGGGAAATGAAGTTTTGGTTGATTCGTTCGTTTCTTCAAATCATAGGTTAAGCCAAGTTAGTTCGATTAGATTGTTGATAGTAGTGGTTTTTTCTTGTTACTAACCGTTCAGTTCAGTTTTTGAATTTTTTTCACTTGAACTCGTCGGCTTATATAATACCGCATTGTCGCACGAGGGCCTGGAAGCCGCACTCAACTACGTCATCGTGGCGAACCTTGTACATGAGAGGCACAGTAAAGGGAGAGCTGAAAGAAGAAATAACTTAAAAAAAATAAAGAAGAACAAGAAAAGAAAAGAAAAGAAAAGATAAGATAAGATAAGATAAGAAAAGAAAAGAAAAGAAGAAAGCAAAGGGAGACCATGAAAACAAGTCAAAAAGAAAGAAAGAAGAAAAAGGACTGCACAGGAAAAGGCAAAAAAAAAAAGATAAGAAGAAGAATGGTTTCTGTGTGCTTTATGCAGTGTACCATTTTTTTCCATTGTTTGTTTTGTAAAGTGAGCGCTCTGACATGCACCAACATGTGTGTACTTGTGTATTGTTGATTTCATTTTGAAATTTGAAAGTATAGAAAAACAAAAAGGAACTCATTGCAGCCAGGGAGTGATTAGGAGTGAAAAATGACCCCCTTGCCTCCTTCCGTTGGCTTTTTGCAGGTGCGAGTGTTTCCATGGCGGACATTGCGGTTTAATGAATCTGTGTGCAATCCCTACAATGCGGATTTTGATGGGGACGAAATGAACATGCATGCGCCGCAGACGGAAGAAGCAAGGGCGGAAGCGCTGAACTTGATGGGGGTAGGAATGCCCAAGGCTCACAAAGACCTATTTAATAGTTATTAGTATATAGTATATAGTATATACTATATAGTATATACTATATAGTATGCACTAGAATACTACCTATTTCTTGTATATAGCATATGCCATTACACTTTTGTACAGAATAGCATACCATAGCATAGTATGTACAACAACACTATAATACGGTTAATACCCACAGGGATTGATTTTGTTGATATGAGAAACGATGAGACTTTCAAAAGTGTTTTCACTCACGGAAACGTCAATAAGAATGATCAAATCAGTGAAATCACATTATTCCAATTCCCACTACTGGCATTCCCCCTACCTCAGGTTTTGGCCTTAAATTGTAAATAAAATTGGTGCAAGGAATATGAGTGTGAGCGATATACAGAAAACCAAGTTGCGAAATCACACAGCTGTCCAAGTAGTCGTATCCCAAGCAGAGCGTACAAATGCACCGAGAAAACCATCCATATAGAGCAATACAATGAAGTAATGAGCCAATGTTCAAGCCCGTAGGCCACACCAACACAGTATCCAAAGTCGCTCTGCTCTGTCTGGCGCTCAGCGCCCACCCTACTCTACCCGACTAGCCTACCTACAGCTGGTTCACGCAACAGGATCACTTCGACTCTCGAAGACCAATTAACATGACTGCCAACACCATCGCCGACCTCTCTTCATGTACCAGGTACGTATCTCGTCACCCTCAATCAGACCTTGATTACCCCACACTCACCTCCTTCCCTGAAGACCACTCGATCGCCCGCATTACCCCCTGGCGCCCAGCAGCCCGGCTATGGATGCCCGCGCCCCGCTGCCCTGCAGCGCCCCACTTCACCTCTACGCCCCCCGTCAGCGCCCTTGGCAGCAGCGCAGCATCAAGCGAGAGCGCAGCAGCACTTCCGCATTGCCAGCACTGGCCAGAATGCCTGGCCTGGGTTGCCTCACTCCTTTTGTGGAAGTGGCAGCCTCCTGGATGCTGCGTGTGGCCTGGCTGGAAGCTTCCAGTATCTTCCGGTTGGGTCCCAGACCCTGCGCCCAGGCCCGAGACTACAGTTGAGGGCCTGGGCCCTTTACAGTTAGGCACGGCCTGAGTCTCCGGACTTGGGCTGTTTGCTGCATCTGTGCAGGGCTCCCAGGCAGGTGCGTCGGCACTACTGCTTTTGCAAAGGCCGAAGGCCTGCTTCCCAATGTATCGGCCCTGCTTTGTGTATGTGTGCCCAGGCGCAACTGTCAAGGCCTGGGCCAACTGTATGACGCAGCAATGTGAGGCTCACACGTCTACCCAACCAACTGGCGTGCTGTGAGAGCTGAATACCCACATATGGAAATGTCGAATTTTGCCTTTGACGAATATTCAGGCCCGCCTTCACTTAGGGCGGGCACTTTGGCTTGCTGGGGGCCTTAGCCCAGAACAATGTGATGTCTGATAGGGCCCCTTGAGGGCTTGTTCCTCACATTGGGAATTTGTGCTGTAAAATTCAAGCACAGAGGATGATTGCACTGCAACCATGATTGGATATGATGAAAAAGGGGGCGGGGGGGGGAAGGAGGTACCACCTTTTGTTACAGCTGAAAAGTAGGTTCAGCATCCCTTACATCGTTTACCCACCAAGCACCTTCCTCCATTATGGCGGAGGAATCCTGAGACAGTGGCATTGACCGTGATATGCCGATATGAAGCATTCTATAAGCAGCAACAAAGACAGCAACAACAATGCAGTGATGATGAAGACTGCCTGCGTTCAACAAGAATTCAGTGATTATTACTGTTCATCTCTGATGATGTGAAATATTTCTGCAGCTCAAGCATTAATAGTAAACGATTATGAAGTTTAGGTTATAATTTCTAGACACAAGAGACAAGTGATCATGTCAATTCTTTGTGCAGCTCAATAATTAATATAACGTCATCAACAGGGTTGTTCCCCCCGATGGTCGGCGGTCCTTGACTGGTCGGCTGCCGACCCGCTGACCGATCGGCTGGTCGGCACCTACCGGTCGGGGGTCGTCGGCACCCCGATACAAAAAAAAACAAAAAAAGGGGGTCCAGAACCCCTAATAACACCACCAACACCCCCATAGCGGTCCCCAATACCTCCATACACCGCCCCAACACCCCCATACCGCCCCGAACTCAGCAAGTGCAGTACAGGCCCCAACGCAGATTTGAAAAAAAAATCAGTGGATGGTTGTTTTTTTCTTTTCTTTTTTCTGACTGGTCGGCAGATCGCTGACCGGTCGGCCCTACTGGTCGGCTGCAATACGGGCGGCAGTCGGGGTCAGCGGTTGGCAGGGATGCAACCCTGGTTATCCAGATATAAGCGCAAGAGTGCAGTGATGATTTCAATTCCTTTTGCAGCTCAAGTATGGGCCGTTTTGTGTGTGTTGTCGTGTTCACCATTACGCAACTCAAAGAAAAAGAGCATGACTGTGCCAGACTGTTTCGTAAGACTTTCACTAGCTCGTCAGGTGGTTCTGAAACCCCAAAAAACAGTCTGCCCAGGAAGCATTTCACTGACTGATAAGGACTCACCACATCACCCAGAGGCAGCGATACCCCTGAGGAAAGTGGTCGACTTTACTCACATGAACCTTTGTGTGTGTGTGTGTGTGTGTGTGTGTGTGTGTGNTGTGTGTGTGTGTGTGTGTGTGTGTGTGTGTGTGTGTGTGTGTGTGTGTGTGTGTGTGTGTGTGTGTGTGTGGGATCAGCTTGGCAGAATGTAGCCCAGCTTCAGGGACATGAGGTGATTCTGTTGTAGTTCTGGCTGGTAAATCAGAAGCCCCATTTACAGTAGGGGCTTTTTTGAAAAAGGGGTGAGAGTTCGCAAACATTCTAGCTAGTTGTCACTCCCTTCTGGAGGTTCGGTTAGGAATGCAACTAGGTTCCCTCCGTTGCTACATGTTTGATTGGTTGGTTGGTTGTTTGAGTGCTTTGTTGATGAAATGGTTGCAGGTGGCAAACAATCTTTGCACCCCAAAGAATGGTGAGATCTTGGTGGCCTCGACACAGGATTTCTTGACGTCTGCTTTCCTGCTTACGAGGAAGGACAACTTTTATGATCGGAGCATGTTCTCCCTTCTTTGCAGTTACATGGGAGATGCGCTTGACTATGTAGATCTTCCAACACCTGCTATTCTCAAGGTGCGCATTTCCTGGTCATCGGTTGGTGTACCACCCAATTAACAGTATGTGTCTCATATAGTTAAGGTCAATTAACGAGCGCGCGCGCACACGAGAGAGAGAGAGAGAGAGAGAGAGAGAGAGAGAGAGAGAGAGAGAGAGAGAGAGAGAGAGAGAGAGAGAGAGAGAGAGACGTTTACCCTGTAAGGCGGTTCAACTGTGTACTGTAGTTCACTCGTCCTGACTGGGCCTCTCATGCTTGTCCGTATCCTAGTTGCATCAGCCTCAATGTCATCAAACAGAAGAAGACGCAAAGGTTGGAAGGTGAAACTTAATGGAGATATATTTTGTCGGTTCATAAACCGATAAAAGCTCGTCGCACGTTCACCTGCAACAAGTTGTGATTGTGGCTTGAATGGCGTGTTGGCTGATCAGGGACGTATGCCTCTACTTAGTACGTATCCTTACGCAGGCAATAGATTCATTACATGCATGTTACAACAATCCGCCTTCCGACCCCTATCCTCGATCCTTAGTCCATGATCATCGTGTTCGTCGTCGTGTGGTGATGTAGCTTGCCATCCCCGATCTCCTCCAATTCACTGAATCATGGAATGTGACGTCTGGGATCGTCTGCACTATACCTCCTCCTTCCCTACAGTTTTCATGCGAATAGAATGCCTGGTTATGTATCGTTGCATGGAGACAGTACATTGTCCCACCCTCCTAGGTAATGGAAGCTTTTGGTCAGCCCAACGTCTTCTAACGCTCCTCAGCTGTCTTATGATCTTATCCCAATATTTCATAAACTCATAACTCAGGCTGTGTATGTGTTCTCTCGGCAGCATCATAAGTCGTAGTGAGGTAGTAAGATCTATTATGCCTGTGTGTACTGCACTGTGTAGCTAGCTTGGCTCTCTTTCCTTCATGCCTGTGAATGTGATGAGGTCTCCTTTTACGCATGTCGATGACAGTTCGTCTCTTCCCCCCCCCCCCCCCCCCCCCCCCCCCCCCCCCCCCCCCCCCCCCCCCCCCCCCCCCCCCCCCCCCCCCCCCCCTTAAACCGCCATTACATGGCCCCGGGCAACTTCAAAAACGAAACTCTCCAAAAATTTTGGAGGCTCGCGGCTACCGCAATGGCGAAGTGCACTGCTGGCGGTTCGACAAAGCTTGGCGCGCAGTGCAAGTATGCCAGGGCGCCCAGGCTTTGGTGTACAGGACCACTGGTGGTTTAAACTTTAAACCACCAGTTTAAACTTTAAACCACCAGTTTAAACCACCAGTGTCTTTCAGAGTTAACTCGTTCCGACTCGCCGGGGTCTCCCGGCCACGTCCACAGGGCCTCGGCCTACTGGAGCTGTTTGGCTGGTGGCACCAGGCAAATTTTTTTTTTTTTCATTCGCGCCTGTTTTGTTTTTTTGTTTTTTTTTTTTGGTGCGCTGCACCGTGCGCAGCAAAATCCTGGTCAGGAAAAAGAGAGGCTCGGATGGACCATTTTGTTGAACCGAAAATTTTCTCGCCGAGTATGTATCATACCGGTCCGTCTCAGGATGTACTCACGCTATGCCTATCTTATATGTGTCGTACCGCATTTACGGCCAGACATGGATGTATCTAGTCGCAATTACGCCCATAAAGAAGTAAAAGAGTTCTAGTGAGGGTATGCCCTCATGCACGTCGGTACATTTAAAGTGCGGCCTCCTTGCGCTAAATGTGAAAGTTTTGGAAGAACGGAGTTGCTGCAGATCTAACATTACCGTACCCATCTGATGTGGTCAGGAATCGAACTCGTTATGTCCTCGTCAAAATGCCGATTGAGCCACATGTCCTGGGGAGTCAATGAGAGTCAGTGACAGGTATTGTTAACCAATGTTTACGCTTTTGATGATGAAGTTGATGAACTGATGATCAGCTTGGGGCATATTGTCCATCCACTATCAGGCTTTCCCTTTGGCTGAATGCTTAACGAAAATGAAATGGGTGCGTCATCGTGAGGGATCATTGTGAACGGGTCATCGTGGGTAGCTAGTTGGGCGTCGTTCTCTCGATGAGTGGGTCATCATGGTGGTGCCTATTGGTCCTTTTTCACTATGGCTGGGTCACCATGGTGGTGTCTATTGGTTCTTTTTCAGTATGGCTGGGTCACCATGGTGGTGTCTATTGGTCCTTTTTCAGTATGGGTGGGTCATCGGGGGCGGCTAATTGGGCCTTGGGTCCTCTGTCGCTATGGGTGTGACTAATTTGGCCTTGGCTTTTTTTTTCTTTTCTTTTTTTTGCCTTTGATTTTTCATCACTATGGGTGAGGCATTGTGGGGCGTGGGTGGGTCATTGTGGATTGCTAATCTGGCCTTAAGTCCTGAGTGTGGTTAATTTGGCCTCGGGTCCTTTGTCACTCTTGGGTGCAGCCAATGGAGCTGTGGACTGGAAAACAATTATTCAGTGTTCTCGTGCGTCCAAACGCAAAGACAAGGATTTTCATCAACCTCACAGTTGCTGAGAAGACATACACGAAGATGGGCGAGTCCATGTGCCCCAGTGATGGCTTCGTATATTTTCGTAACAGGTAAGTGTTTTTTTTTTTTTTTTTTTTTTTTTTTTTTTTTTTTTTTTACCGTAACCAGTATGAGTCCCCTCCCTGAATCTCTAGGCCGCAAACAGGCGAGCCGTGATTGCGATGTACCGGTCTGGGAGGGACTGGTTCAATTCGTTTGGTCGCAAAAAAAATTAGGGTGGCAATATAGGGTCCGCCGTACTGGTGCTTTAAACCAGCAGTACCTCCCCGTTGTTTTTTTCGAAGTCGCGGCCGTTAACGCGTCACGACTTTCGGGTGTCGGGCAAGCCAACGCCCAGTTGCTTCAACAAACAAAAAAAAAAAAAGCAAAAAAAAAAAAACTTGAGAAAACCCGAATCGCGCACGCGCCACACACAGAGAGAGAGAGAGAGAGAGAGAGAGAGAGAGAGAGAGAGAGAGAGAGAGAGAGAGAGAGAGAGAGAGAGAGAGAGAGTCTCGGCGGCCATTGTGGGGTGCTCCACGCAGCCCGCTGAGACTGCGGGTGTCGTGGCTGTCTCGGCATATACAAAAGACATCCTGGCGGTGTATCTTTCCATGTTCTAGCAGAAGATTCACTCTCGTTTTGCACATTTCGACAGAGTGCAGTGAGGCTCTGTGTGTGTGTGTGTGTGTGTGTGTGTGTGCGTGTGTGTGTGCACCTCCCCCCCCCTCCCCTCAAGCATTCCGCAGAGAATGAACCATTCCCCATAATCGGGGAAGATTCATTCTCTTTT